CAGCCATTACTTGGTGAAGAAATTTGAATATATACATATACACGCTGCTACATACTTAGATAACAAAAAAAATAGCTTGTCTGTTTGAAGTTAAGCACTACATACACACGCTGCTACATACTTAGATAAAAAAAAATAGCTTGTCTGTTTGAAGTTAAGCACAAAGCTACACAATGGACTATTAACGCTGTGCCCACCGCAGGTATCGAGACCCGGTTTTTAACGTTATAAGCATTTAGACTTATCGCTGAGTCACTAAGGGGGGTTCATAGGGGAGGGAAGCCACTAGAACGTAAAATTCATACATTTATTAAGACGTCATCTCCTCGGTCGTGACAACTCTCACGTACGATAATTCGATTGCTGATGGAATTTCACAGTCTGAATGTTTTCAAACAAAAACCCTTTCCACAGATCCGAGGTATACGTGACATATGTACTGTAGGAAACGTTCAGAGAACAATGGTTATTTTACCAAAAGAAAATGTGTGTAATGTCAGGTTAAGAAGGAAAATACTGGTTATAGTGACGAAATATATATCATTAAAAATGTAAATAACTCAACTAAATCACAGGAAATTAACATATATGCACAAAGAATACTATCTTATGGGGGGGGGGCGTAAATTTTGAAATCAGAAACGAAAGAGCGCAATAATACAGTCGATAATAAAAGTAAAGCGCGCATGGCCTGGTGATTAGGCGGGATATAATCCCTTCGCTTAACGAGTTCGCCCTTTAAGCCTTCGGGCGTTATAACGTAACGGTCAATCCCACTCTTCGTTGATACAGTGAAGAGTGTTGTTGACTAGCTGCCTTCCCTCTAGTTTATCACTTCAAAATTAGGGTTAAAGACATCCGTATCACTGGCGTAGGATACCTTACCTGGTTAGCTTCGAAGATCTTGTCTCTGGTTACCAACATCTTCAAAGGTACCATCAGTGACGTCGTTGAACATTCACTTCGTGACACGTTTGTTAAGGCGCTCCAGAAAACCCTCGTATGAGGAATCAGACCTCGACTCAAACCCTTGTTGTAAGAGAAACCAAGATAACTTTACGTGTCTTATCCTTCTGTTTATTTTCAGCTACAGAATCTTTAACGCCCTGTATTCCACCACCACCAGCCGTCTACGAGCACCTTTCTAACCTTCTAGAAAACGTCACGAGAAATCTTCCTCAAGTTATGTACGTGATGACAGTGAAGAGTCCGTTTTTTGAACTTTATGATGGGCAAGTGACAGGGTTGTCAACTTTAAAACTGTTCACTTCCCCGTCCTATTATTGCAGTGGGTCTGATTACGTTGGATTCCATCTGTATTTTGTAACCAACGACTTAAAATGTTTGTACTCGTGGAAAAAGACATTGTTGAAAACCTTCTCGGGAGTCGTTTTTATCAAGACGGAAAACTTGCGGATTCACGTCCAAATCCGTCAGAAACGATCTGCGTATAGCCGACCCGAAGTAGTGAAGCTTCAGGTTATCAACCTAGATGAATAGTGGAATACAGGGCGTTAAAGATTCTGTAGCTGAAAATAAACAGAAGGATAAGACACGTAATAGTGGAATACAGGGCGTTAAAGATTCTGTAGCTCAAAATAAAAAGAAGGATAAGACACGTAGTAGTGGAATACAGGGCGTTAAAGATTATGTAGATGAAAACAAACAGAATGATAAGACACGTAGTTGTGGAATACAGGGCGTTAAAGATTCTGTAGATGAAAACAAACAGAATGATAAGACATGTAGTAGTGGAATACAGAGCGTTAAAGATCTGTGGCTGAAACAAACAGAAGTATAAGACATTAGTAGCGGAATACAGGAGCGTTAATAACATCTGTTGCTGAAAACAAAGAGAAGATTGAAGCTAAATATAATGGAGTACTGGCGTAAACAATTTCTAGTCGAAAACCATGAGCATGATAAAACTTATAGTTAGTGTACAAAGCGTTAAAGAACTTGTAGCTGAAAACAATGAGCACGATAAAACTTATAGTTAGTGTACTGAGCGTTAAAGAACTTGTAGCTGAAAATAATGAGCATGATAAAACTTATAGTTAGTGTACAGGGCGTTAAAGAACTTGAAAACAATGAGCATGATAAAACTTATAGTTAGTGTACAGGGCATTAAAGAACTTGTAGCCGAAAACCGTTAAAGAACTTGAAAACAATGAGCATGATAAAACTGATATGTAAGTTCGTCATGTCGGGATGTGACTGATATGTAAGTTCGTCGTGTCGGGATGTGACTGATATGTAAGTTCGTCATGTCGGGATGTGACTGATGGGTCCAATCATAACCCATAGTTTTCTATGTTACCATGAATGCAAGCGACTGTCCTTTACACATGCTGTATTAATGACGCTTTCTTGCTAGTTCGGTAACAGAGTCACATTTCCAAGTTCCTTTCTTCCCTAAATTCTCAATATCAAGTTCAGATGTGAACTTCATATTCGCATCTCTGGTCTTTGTACTCAGAACTTCCCGCCTTTTATTTTTTCTTTATTTTGAGACAGAGTGTAATGCCTCTGAAGCCTCGTGGTAATGTACTAACCAGCAGATGATACCACTGCGTTATAATGAGTCAGAACTGTATATTAAAAGACGATGCACTTAAATTAAATATACATGCTAACTTCTTTTCCCTCTTAGCCCTACATCTCGGGTAAGTGTCAGGTAAGCCCTACATCTCGGGTACGGGTCAGGTAGGCCCTACATCTTGGATACGGGTCAGATAGGTAATTCATGAAAGCACGGTTGTTGCTTTTTTCCAGAAACTCCGGTTTTTACATGCATCAAAAACAACCAGGGCATGGGATAACATTATTATAGCCCCATAAAAGGGCTGTTACTCTTCTGAATCCAAAATACTCAAATGTAATGTTATTACCATTTTAACTTTACAAGACATTCACTATATATGTTACACTAAACTATGACACTTTAACACTATATAAGTTACACTACACTATGACATTCACTATATATATGTTACACTACAATATGACATTCACTATATATATGTTACACTACACTATGACATTCACTATATATGCTACACTATGACATTCACTATATATGCTACACTATGACATTCAGTATATATATGTTACACTACACTATGACATTCACTATACATATGCTACACTACACTATGACATTTTTAACACTATATATGCTACACTACACTATGACATTTTAACACTATATATGCTACTCTACACTTCTGGTCAAATAGGAACTCGTGTGCTTGGTTCTGCTTCAACCTTCTTATCTTGACTACTCGCTTCTGACTGACGTCATCACCGAGGGTACCAGCAAATACACGTGATTCTGCTCCGACAATTGAACGACGGCTTCTTCATGGCTTTCTCTTTCGGCTCCAGTCGGTATCTGTCACGTCTCTTAACTTCTAGAACAACGTGTCTCCAGTCGGTACCTGTCACGTCTCTACACTTCTAGAACAACGTGTCTCCAGTCGGTATCTGTCACGTCTCTACACTTCTAGAACAACGTGTCTCCAGTCGGTATCTGTCACGTCTCTACACTTCTAGAACAACGTGTCCCCAGTCGGTATCTGTCACGTCTCTACACTCCTAGAACAACGTGTCTCCAGTCGGTACCTGTCACATCTCTACACTTCTAGAACAACGTGTCTCCAGTCGGTACCTGTCACGTCTCTACACTTCTAGAACAACGTGTCTCCAGTCGGTACCTGTCACGTCTCTACACTT